CTACTCAAAATGAAGGATTTATTTCAAGTATTGAAAATAAAAACATACTCAAAAAGCATATTCTCTTCAGATCAGGGCTCTTTTTAATACATCAAAGTGTGAGTATCTCAGGTTCATGAGAAAATAATTTGATTTATACTAATTGTACATCCATATGGTACATCTTTTAACTTATGCTCGTATTATATATTAATATACAAATGATTCACGTAAAAGTAAAAATGACATTAAAATAAAATCAATAAGAATTAGCTCCTTTTTATGCCTTTTTATGAAGTGTCAATAAGTTTTTAATTTATTTACGTTTGTAGTGTTTGGTACCTAAAGTTATAATCAGAAAAGAGCAAGGATCAGGATGATTTTAAATTAGAGTTAGATTTCATCAGTATGCCTGGGGATTAGAAAATCCCCAAGTTATAAAACTTTCCACCAGTTCCAATGAAAATTCAGCCCTAATGTCAAATCATTTTAAGTTTATTAGGCACTTGTCATAACACTAATTATAAATTAGATCATTTTATATTCTCGAGATTGAGAAAAGTAATTAAATTGGTGGTTTCATTAGTTGATGGACAGTTTTAAAGAGTTTATTTTTCTGGAAAATCAAGGTGTATTATTCTTTCAGTGTCTAAAGAAGTGCTTATTAGAAAACAAGGGGTTGTATAGAAATCTAAATCTAACAGAAAAGGATAATTTTGTCATGAATATTGACTTAATTTTACTAATAGCTTTTAATATACATATTTTAAAGATATGAAGTCTTAGCTTTAGAATTTAAATATTAGGATATTTCTTCATTAAACTGAAAATTCAAATTCAAAGTAGATATTTAATTAGATGAATTAAAAATATAGAGTCATCATAATATTATCTATTATACAGTCAATCCTTTAAAATATGCTAATTGCAAGGTTTATAAATGACGTGGGGAGTCAAAGTTTTATAAATCCTCAAACATTATAATTAGTCTTTGGAATCTTTTTTGTTGTTGCTGTCCAGACATAGAAATGTACAAATGTTTAATTTAAGGTCAGCCAAGCTGAAAAAATTTAAAAATATTTTTAGTCAATTGGCTAATTCTAAATTTGCTTTGTTTATTCTCATGTTATTTCTTATTCTCTCTTTTTTTCTGAAACTACTAATGTAGCAGTAGGAAGTTAAATTAATACTATAGAAAATCATAAAACTCATGTTCAATCAAGGTTTTAGCTTTAGCTTTAGCCCTGCTTTAGATTGAATGTGTTTTCTTACCAGGAAATTCTGGAGAGGTTATTACAACACACCCTCACACATACACATACACGTTCCTTTACATTTTACATGGTCTGTGCTAGAGGATTAGCATTTATTGAGTTTCTACTATATGAGGTGCTCTGATTCTCGACCTCCCATGCCACATTGTGATGTTGAACATCTCTGTGCATATATTCTTGTAAAATGTGTGTTGCAATTTTTATGCAAATCTTTTAATTTAAACAAATGTCATTGTGTGATATATTTCATTTTGCTTCTTTTTAACTTTTATTTTAAGTTCAGTGGTACAAGTGCAGGTTTGTTAGATAGGTAAACTTATGTCATGGGGGTTTGTTGAACAGATTATTTCACCCAGATATTAAGCCTAGTACCCATTAGTTATTTTTCCTGACCCTCTTCCTCCTCCCACCCTCGATCCTCTGAAAGCCCCAGTATGTATTGTTACCCTTCTGTTTTGTAATGTCTTTCATCTGGTATTGTGGTTTTAAAAAGATCTATCTATATTGCTGTGTGACCTTTGCTTCTAATTGCTATAATATACTTCACTGTGTGGACTCATTATCCTTTCCCTTTACCCAAAGGCTTCTGACTTCCAGCAACCACAGGTAAAACACAGTTGAGTATCCCACTTCAGCTCCCCTTTGTCACCACTTTTAGATGAAGAAACAGAGGCATGAAGGGTTGAATAATCTTATCAGAATTGCACCGCTAGGATTAGAACCAGTCTAGTGGCAGGCACATAGAGGAAAGAGAAGCATCAATTATTAAACATCTATTGTAGCAGAAGTTTTATGTCAAAAAATCAATTTTATCCACTTAAGTGCCTTATGTAGTAGCTAAAATGACTCAAAGAAATCAGAAAAGTAACCCAAATAATCATAATTGATAACTGGCAGATTCAGAAGTTTACTAATACTGGTCATCCCTTAGGGCTTATCTTGTTTTTTAATTAACCAGTGTCTCGTTTCAATGAATGTATTATTTTTAAAAAATATGGAGGTAAGGTTGCTTGATTACTCAGGTATTTCTCTCATTTTGGGAAATTGCACACATAGCCTTAGCAAACAGCATGTAAAATTGTTCCCAAATACCTATTTTTATTTGCTTGTTTTCTTATTTTTGGGTAATCTACAGCAGCAGAAGAAAAGTGTGTGTATATATATATACACACACACACACTCACACACATAGATTGGAGGATTAATTTTCCTAGTAACAAACATTTTGAAACAACTGATATAAAAAATTTGGAAGGGATTCTCATGTTAAAAGCTTATTGGATTATTTTTTGGATTTTTAGAGAAAGGGTTCTGTTCTGTCACCCAGTCTGGAGTGCAGTGGTGCAATCATAGCTCACTGCAGCCTTGAACTTCTGTGCTCAAGTGGCCCTTCTGTCCTCAGCCTCCCAAGTAGCTAGGATTACAAGTGTGGACCACCACACCACACCAGACTAATTTTTAAATTATTTTTATAGAGATGAGGGTGGAGAGGGGACCTTGGTAATTTGCCTAGGCTGGTCTTGAATTTCTAGCCTCAAGCAGTCCTCCCGTTCTGGCCTCCCCAAATGCTAGAACTACAGGCATGAGCCACCATACCTACTCTTGAACTCTTAAAATAGATTTTACTCTGTCCTTCATTTTGTTTATTGATTTGCAGATGGACATCATGACTACATAAAATTATTTCCATTTTTCATTTCTTTCTAAGTAAAAATTACCAGCTGGTTTTTATGGCGATAATGACATGGATCAGCAATAGTTCTTGGAAGTGTTATTTTTCAAAAAATTGTTGAATAAAAAGTTTTTTTATTCTTTCAATAGATATTATTTTCCTCCAAGCTTGAACAGTGATGAGTATGATGATTAATCAATATCATTTTAAGTACTAGAATGGCTCCTGAATGATAAAACCCATCAGTAAAGACAGACTAAGTGAACATTAAGAAGTAAATGAGGCCGGGCGCGGTGGCTCAAGCCTGTAATCCCAGCACTTTGGGAGGCCGAGACGGGCGGATCACGAGGTCAGGAGATCGAGACCATCCTGGCTGACACGGTGAAACCCCGTCTCTACTAAAAATATGAAAACTTAGCCGGGCGAGGTGGCGGGCGCCTGTAGTCCCAGCTACTCGGGAGGCTGAGGCCGGAGAATGGCGTGAACCCGGGAGGCGGAGCTTGCAGTAAGCTGAGATCCGGCCACTGCACTCCAGCCTGGGCGACAGAGCGAGACTCCGTCTCAAAAAAAAAAAAAAAAAAAAAAAAAAAAATGATATCTGACCTAGGAATTTCTCCTTCAGATGTGACATTCTCCCTGTTTTTCTGCTAGAAGACAAATCTTGGGTGAGGACAACATTGCAGAAGGGCCTGAACAGAGAGTTGAGCTCAGTATAAAACTTCTGACAGATTTTGCTGTTCTGGGAGGGCCAGAGTCTAGCCCCAAGGAGGGGAAATGTTAGAGGCAGTCTGATGGGGTGAGATCCTGTGATGTCCTTCAAATCAAACCAGAGGAGATTGCTTTACTTCTTTCCCAGTTGCTCAGAGGCAATTAGCAGAAGTCATTAATAGTGTTACTTCGAGAATGCTGTGGCTGCTTGATTTATTTTCAAATCAAATAGAAAATTGTAGTGTCCCCTTAACAAATTCGCAGGTGTACTTGACATTTCGAAGTTTAATGACTAGGTGTTTTTAGAAAATGCAATATTTTGACATTGTCTAAAAATAACAGGATATCGATTTCTTAAAAAGGCAATTAATTATATGATGAATATATTAATATTTATTAATATTTTAGACTATAATTTTAGAAAGCAGGATAAAGGGTTGCCAGCATTTGGTGTCATAAGTTTTAGGGCATGGTACAAACCACTAATATGTTATACATATACTATAGTACATGTACTAGTAAATGTCAAAACAAGGTAATACCATTTCATCTTGAGTTGTGAATGCACATTTTGACTAAAAATTTTATGAAATTACAAATTAAAATTACATAAACTAATTTTAAAGAACTTATTATCAGTTATAAGTTAATAAGACAGGGTGGTATGAAGATGCATTTTTCTAAATTATTTTAAAAATTAAATTTGAAGAATAGTGAAAGTAGTAACTGAAATATATCTTTAAAACTTTAAACATTGTTGAAGTAGTGCTTTTATCCTATCAAGTTCTACTCAAGTCATTGAACCATATATAAGTAAAGACATAAAAATAGTAATATTATATTTAATGTGTTTTGTATGCTGTATAAAACATCTTTCTTACATTTTCTTTATTTATATAATTCATTACTTTCAGGTAAGGTAATTGGCCACCTGCTAACTGTGTGTCCCTGAGAAAGATGTTATTATTACTTGTTCTAGTTGCTTTTCTAAAAGGATATAAGAAAAGTATGAGATAGATTTTTTTTACATTTCTCCTAGCTGTAAAATTCTATGGGTTCTATAATCCTATGTCTTGTCTTTTTTTCTCCCCTCCTGTGGAGTCTGATATCCTTTGTTCATCTTTTTTACAAATTTGAATCAGACTAGTTGGCAAAGTGTCAGTTCTCTGACAGTCTGTGATAATATATTATTTTGCGCAAATGTTACCAAATGAATAGCTAGTAAAATTTTTTCCTTTTATGATTCCAAACTCGCTCAGTTTGATGAATAGGATCTAATATTTGGCATTTTTATCTCTAAATGTCATCAATTTAATCTTTGTAACAAGTTCATTTATATAATAAACTTTAAATCTCTTTATACTCACACAAATGCAACGCAGGGGAAATCACTGTCCTTGCTCTCTTGATTTCTTCTTTGTTGACAGGATAGATGACAGAATCTGCGCTTCTTTCAGATGAATTGTTTTTCAGGTGGTAATTTTTCTATATTAACATACTCCCTACCATATATTTTTCTTTTCTACACAATCTTCATATAACCACATTATTTTTGAGGTTAAGTTTAATATCTAAACACCATTGAATGCATTCCATAATCAAGATAGTTAGATTGTAGTTAGTTTTAATTTGAAGAATTTTGGTGGTGTTTCTATCAAATTTATAATAAATTTAACAATAACTCCAACTATCTGAGTCTCTTTTCTTAATGACCTGGTACCTATTCATGTCAGTGTCCTAAAATCTTCAAATTGTGAAGTCACATACATGTGGTATGGAAATTATTTTTTCAGTCAAAAATATGTAAATCTTTACTTTGCAATTGTACTCTGATAAAGTAGCTCAGTTTGAGGGACAAAAATAAAACAAGCCTTTATTTTTCTTCTCAAGGCAGTATTTGCATGACTTTCATATGGTATATATGTTTGCATAGGAAATTTGTCTTTAGTTTCACATCTGCCTGGATTATAGCCTTTAATTCAATGATTCAAAGCTTATCTGGAAGACACTTAAAATACTTGAAAGCTACATACTATTATTTTATGATTTCAGCTACTCAAGACATAACTTTTAATGTATAAACAACATCTTTATCAAGTCGAGCAAATAGTGAAGGGAAATTATCAAACTATGGTCTTGTTTTTAAAGGAATGGGCCTAAAATTGGACAGATATACTTGAAGTGGTGAAAGTGGAAAATATACAACCATTTCATCTGTCCAGATTATTTGAGCCTTTCCTGTATCAATGAAACATCAGCTGTTGCAGTGAGATAATCTTTAATGCTCATCCTATTTTTTGATCTAGATGCATTAATGATTAATTTATTGAATATTATCTGTTTTCTATGCTGTAACACTGGCATATCAAAAACGTCAATAGATTGTCACATTTTAACTCTTGACCTTTGGGTTTTACTGCAAATAATTAACTCTTTACTACTCACATACCCTCAAATGTAGTAATATTATTTAAGTATTACTGCAGGAAGAAATATATTGTTTTACTAAGTAGTTTATTTGACATTTTACTAAACTCTGTTAAATATATGTTATGTATGTAGTATTTGAAATGTGATACATCTATAAAGGAAAATATTTAGCATAATCGTTAGCTTTACCCAAACAATTTTGAAAGTTAGGTTATTTTCTTTTTGTCTCAGTGTCTGTATACTTAATGTCCCTCGTGTGCTACACACGGTGACTGAAGAAAAGTAAGCTTCATGAGAAGAAACATTCACATATAAATTTTGATCAGTTTCTCAGAATTAATAAATCAAAGAGAAATGCTGATACTGTGTAATAAATTCGGCCATATGTAACAGACTAGCTTTCACTAATACAGATCTGTGCCTCCTAATGATGTTATAGTCAGTAATGAACCACATAGATGATGGTGATCCTGTAAGATTATAATATTTTCCAATCTTACTATGCCTTTCCTATGTTTACATATGTTTAGATATGCAAGTACTTCTTGTGTTAAATTGCCTAGAGTATTCAGGACAGTAACATGGTGTACAGGCTTACAGCCTAGGAGCAATAGGCCATATTGCCTAGATGTGTAGTAGGTTATGCCACTTAGGTTTGTAAGTTAATTCCATGATGTTCATACATTGAAATCACCTAATGACATATTTCTCAGAATGTATCCCTTTTGTTAATCGATACATGACTGTATAAGTATGCCAGTTCTTTAAGTAAAACTAAACAAAAACAAAATGGGGCACTAGATAGCTCAGGGAAAAAAATAGAAAACACATTCTGTATAGAATAATAGCTGTTACCTCTTACGTTCTCTGTAATGATTTTGATTTCATTTTGAAATGCATATTGGATGTAATGATTTATTTTAATTCTGATTAGAGGTAATGACTTACTTTTAAGTCTGATTTTTTTTTTTAAACAATGAGTAGTGGTAGTCTCATCCAAGTAAACATATTTTATACTACTTTTCTGAACCAGTTCAAATCTAAAACTAAGTTACCAATGTTTTTATAGGCAACTGGTAAATTCTGAGAAAAAGTAATATTGCAGGGTTTTTTTTTTTTAACTCTCAATTTATGGGAATTGTTTAGAGAAAATGTAGAATGATAAATAGGGATGTGCTTTGGCTACTTTAGTCAAAGTCTGAGTTCTGCTACACATTATGTACATTCCTGTGCAAGATACTTAACCTTTAAAAACCTTTATTTTTCTATCGATAATATATAGAAAATAAGATTGGGTTCTTATACCTATTACATTAAGAATTAAGTGATACCATTTAAGCATTTATCAAAGTGATCACTAGATGGTAAACATTAACACATGTTAGCTATTACTGCTAAGGAAACTGTTTTAATACTTAAATTTCATATGATCATAAAAATAAAATTTAGAATATGATTTTTAATCATTTTTGGAAAAAGAAAACACATTTAAAAGGAACACAATCTCTTCTCAGCCTTTTGGCTAAGGCCAAGTGTAAAAGGGACACAAATGTAGTTTAGAGCAAATTTAAGTGATGTGGTTAAAAAAAGGAGGTAATCACAGTATGATAACCAGGTCAGATTATTTCACTATCATGAAGAAGAAGGGAAGTTACAGAGAGAAGTAGGAAGACCTTAGTAACCTAATGCCTACTAGGTAGTCTGTGGCAAAGTTTTGAAATCCTGTAAGATTATAATACTTTCCAATCTTACTACGCCTTTAATCTTATATTATATGTAAGATATATAAATTATATAAAAATATATATAATTATATATTATAATACTTTCCAATCTTACTATGCTATATAAATGGTGAATTCTGAGCACAGGGTTAGAAAGAAAGGTCACCTGAATGATAGAATTATGCATATTTTTACAGATGCAGGATTCTAGAAATGTGATTTACAGATTTTATAGGAAAGGCAGTCAAGGAAGAAAGAGCTAAAGATACAGATTGAGGTTTCAACTGAGGTATAGTTTAGCCAGGGCTATGGGTGTTGTGAGAGAAATTTTAAGGATGAATGTGGTAATATATATGAAACACTCTCTGTTCCCTGGAAGAAAGGTTCTATAAAAACGTAACATATTGCTGATTCTTAGAACGAATGGTGAAGGTTGAAAGATTTTCAGATGTAGGGAAAGGGCACATTCACAATCCAGTGAGAGGCAAAGGATATTGGAAATGGAAGGTCAGAAACAAGAAAGGAAAAATAAAATTTGAATGCTTCTTACAAGACTACACACACATGCACACATACACTACAGTTTTAAACAGAATTATTTTCATTGGAAATACTCTGTAAAATAAGTTTATTGATTTCCAAGATAGCTGCACTTAGAATTGAATAATTTAAGCACATAAAGTGAATATAGTGGTCAGAGAGAGGAAAGAATGAATTTGGATTAATTGTCTAAGGAAACAATATCGTAAAAGAAAAGGTATAATAAAAGAGAAAAGAAAAAAAGTAAAGAGATAGGTTTTTGAATAAAAAATATTTTGCCAAAAAGTTCAAGAAAATGTTTTGAAGGATAGAATTTAGAACTGTTCTAAGAAGTTCTGTATCTGGTAGATAAAGCAATAGCTTGCCAGAAGATATATGGCCAATTTTAGATATATAAAAAGAGTGGGAGGAAATACAAGGAAATTAGAGTGTGCCACCCAGAGTGTCTCATGTGGAGCTGCTGATTGCATGTCCGGATCTCATAATTGATGCAGAGGTGGCTATCAGTTAACTTAGCCGACAAATACTTTTGAAATAAATCAAGTCTCCAAATTACAAACAGTATTGAAATATGTTATCATTGAAGGTCTATACCTCCTTAGTGATTTAAATCTGGATATAGTATTGATGCTCTAATTAGAATACCATATTGTATTTTTTCTAAGTAGTCTTATCAGTTAGAATTTTATAGTTAAATGGGGATCTAATAATTAATGTCTTACGACTTGAAGAGCCTTTGGAAAACACATTTATCAAATGCTCATGGGAAACAATTCAATTCTATAGTGTTATGATAAATTGAAATCATGTGTTTTGTAATGTATCTAAAATATACTTGAAAAGATAATGGACTTTTCCATTTGTAACACCCATGGCCATAAAAATCTTATGAAAAAGTAATTCAATGTCTTTGAGTTCAGAATGTTACAAGATTCTTTTATTATATTAACTTATCACATATGTAAGTACAAAAAAGTAAAGAATAATCTCAGGCTTTCCCATTAGGGTTTTTCTGTACTTACAGAGAGGAAGTAACTTTGGCTTTGCTAACAGACTATTTCTTTTCCCCTTCTTTTTCTTCCATTCCCCTCTTCCATTCACTTACCAAACCTGTTTGATTCCAGTTTCAAAATATAATCATGTCTTTACTCACTCACCTCTATCTTCATTATATTGATTTAAGCCTAAACGGCCTCTTCCCTGGATTACTACAGTTGTCTCTGAGCTATCTCTTTGCTTTCTGGGTTTTAGTCCTGTAGTGTTTTCTCAGTGTGGCCACTTGAGGGATACTTGTAAAATGCAAGTCAGATCATATCACTTATCCACTCACACCTTCCCCTGGCTTTCCGTCTTGCTCGGAGTGAAATCCATGTTGGCTGGGCACAAGCTCACACCCGTAATCCCAGCACTTTGGGAGGCCGAGGTGGGCGGATCACTTGAGGTCAGGAGTTTGAGACCAGCCTGGCCAACATGGTGAAACCATGTCTCTACTAAAAATACAAAAAATTAGCCGAGTGTAGTGGCAGGCACCTGTAATCCCAGCTACCAGCTACTGAGGCAGGAGAATTGCTTGAACCCGTGAGGTGGAGGCTGCAGTGACCCAAGATTGTGCCACTGCATTCCAACTTGGTCAACAGAGTGAGACCCCATCTGGAAAAAAAAAAAAAAGCCATGTCCTGGAGTGGCCTGAACATCCCTACAGAATGTGTCCCTATCCACCTCTCTGATACGGTTTCCCATTACACAACTTTTTGCTTGCTCCACTCTGGGCACATTGGTCTCCTTGCTGCCTTCCTACGTGTCCAAGCACCCTTATTCCTAAGCGTCTTTACACTTGCTTTTCCTTCTTTCTGAGTATTCCTTCCCCAGCTAGCTATTCCCATGGCTTACTAGCACACCCGATTTACTTAAATGTCAAATGAAGGCTTCTCTGACCAGTACACTTAACATGGTTAACACACTGCAGCTTCTCCTTCCTAATTGTTTTTTTCTCCTT